GACTTCCAGTGCCTCTGAATGATTCTGTCTCTCTATGAGAGTGAACAGAGATTGTCAACATGGCAAGTTTGCGTATTAATGTTATTCAAACAAATGGACAGATCAGCAAATGGACAGTGCCAATGCATTAAACCTCTCAACCTTAGTTGGAAAGCGTTAACGAGAACGTGCAATTGCAAAGGGGCCACTGTATTTCTGACTGTGAAAAGGATGGAATTTCAAAATTAAATATCAACTGTGTTAAAAGCTACATGTTCATCTGGAACTCAGTTTAAATGAACATTGAACCTTGATTGTCGTTTAAAAGTTGAATTTCGAAAGCGTATAAATGCAGCGTTATCACAACTCAAGAGGCTGTGCGGGAAAAGAAGCGTCCTTTGTCGTGAGATATGTTGGGGATTATTGTATTACTTCATACCGAGCAAATGATGTGACATTTCGTATTTCTTTAGCCTCCTGAAGGCTAGTTCAGAACCCTTCATTGATTGAATTGTCCCTTGCTTAACGAAGTAAAGAGTCAATTAAGATGCATTCATATATATTTCACTCGTGTATGTTGGAGCCGTGGCGCAATTACAGCACACCAGGGCTTCCAAGCCAATAACCCGAATTCGATTTCCAAGCCACGAACACCATCAGCTGGCAAGTGATTTCTTAACCGGTCTTGGTTACCCCACCCTGTCACCAACTCGCACTGATCAGCACTGGTGAAGTGCGATTCAGCAACTCTCGTTACTGAGTTACTGAGAGGCATTGGGGTGGCCTTGATCCAGCAGTGAATTGTCAAAGGCGTGCACTAATGAACGTCATTATTTTGACTCTTTGGGTAAAAAATACAATAACAAAATAACGTTATTTTTGTTATTGTATTTTTGTTTCTTTCCGGATGAGTGAGTCGTTATATGCGCTTATTTTTGTTTGCGGTTTCGTTGGAGGCAGAATGGCCGCCGTTGACGTCCGGACTGCTATTATGACATCCAAGCATACGGAGCCACTTAGACGTACAAGTCAAAATCCCTTCGTCCATTTGAAGTATTGATCTGTGTGAATAATTAAAACGAAAAAGAACTAGCCTTTTTTTTGCAGAATACATTATCTTAAAATCATGACATCATTATCATCAGCATCTGCTGCAGTCGTTGCAGCAACAGCATGATGATGATAGTCATAAACAGAAGCAATGGGATGATGATAAATCAAATCACTCATTATCTATCCACTGTGCGTTCCATGATGGCACGCAGTACCTTTAGCCATTATAAGCGAACTGCACGCTCAAATTGTAAATGTTTATGCTTAATCTTTACCCATACGAATACCTGAGGTCCCATCCATTGACAACTAACGCTGACTCCTAAACTACTAATTTCACCCTTAGACTTCAAGCACTACCCCTAGACAATTAGCCGTGTCACTAGTCCACTATCCCAACCGTTATGCCGCTAGCCCCACCTCTAGACGACCAGTAGCATCACTCCTATACAGACCTTGTTAAGCGCGACCCCACAGAACGCTGATTCGTTATAGCGCTCTTTGTCTTGGATACAAAAAAAATAGTGACTAAATTTATTGAGAGTACGCAGCAGCGCTGGCCGAGGAAATGTACCCACCCCCATCATTCACTCAGCCAATGAGAGCCCACGCACGCTCTCAGCGAATCAGATCCCCCCCCCCCCGCGATTCGATTATCACGATTCGTCGTCATTATCGCAGATCGTATTCACGTGTAGTGACATAGAATCGGTCATTTAGCAGCTTAGCGCTGGCTTGCTTGCAGTGAAGCGGATCTGTAGCTTACAGCAGCCCTGACTGACAGCAGGCCACGTGATAGACCAGAGAGGGATGTAGGGGAATGGTTACGGAAGGGGCACATCGAGAACCCGCTAGTAGGTTCCAGAAGGGGGGCGTGGCCGTGGGCGGAGCCAGGCCACGCTGAGAGTATAAGAGGGGCCCCGGGAGGGGACCTCGGGGCTGTCGCGTGGAGTGGGGCGATCCCCGTGGTGCTGCTGCTGGAGTCTTCACCGTCGTCTCCGGATTCACCATCTCGGCGTCGCCAGACAGGCAGTCTACCAGCTGTCCTGACTGGGAACCGTAGTTGATTTAGTGACGAGTTATAAAGCGCTAACTGCCAGGCCGTGTTCATAAACAGAGTTCCGCCTACTCTTAGTGTCTGTGAGTCAGTCATTACACATGTATGCAGTGACGGATTCTCCTAGTAGCAAAAGTAGCCACACATGTAGCTACGGGCCCCGCACTTTCAAGGGCCCTGCGCTAAATGCTTTGAAGATATTAATTCCGGTTCAGTGATTCTGCACTTGTTCTATTACTATAGGACTATACTGCCTTAAATTTTATTAACGACTGGGTGTTTAAAGTTAGCGATTTGTCGTATTATCTGGCTGTGTAGCAAATGAACAAATACGATTACTTTACTATGCAGGTAAAAAAATTGTGTTATAATTTTTTTTATTTAGGGCCCCTTTATAACATATGCTACAGGCCCCGCACTAGCTTAATCCGGCACTGCTTGTATGTTGAACTTCTTTCGCACCGTACGTAGACAACCGTACTAATCTGAGGGGTGGGGGGAAGGACAGCTCCTGCAAACTCGTCTCTCGCCACTGCCACATGGGAGTACAGTAGAATGCATTTGTGAGTTCGGTTCATAATACTTACTGATGTCTTGTAATATATCGTTTTTATTTGCGGAATAATCTTTACCGTCTGTAATATTTGTATTATTCACGGTATTCCCGATACCCCCAATGAAGCCCTCATATATTGCTTAATACGAAGAAATAACGCTGTGGTGAACGCACCCCCATATGTACGAGCGCCACGGTGGCGAGATGTTAACTACCTCGCCTGGTATACAATAGGTCGTGGGTTCGATCCCGACCCTGACGTCTCGATATTTGGAGTTTGCGTGTTCTCCCCGTGGTCGCGTTGATTTTTCTCCGGGTCGTCCGGTATTTCCCTGCACATTTAGCCACTTCGTTGAGCTATCATCTTCTGAAAAAGAACTGTATAGCTCAGCTGTCTTAAAACTTTCGTGACTGCAGGAATTCATATTCTTTGTGTCTTTCGGTAAAGTCACGTAGATAGAAAAAGAAAAATTATAATAAAGAAAGTGAATAAAAATAAAAAACAAATAATAAACAAAAAACACTACTGTAGACTGAGTGTACTGGCAGTTTATAATGTAGACTGTAGCCTGGTTTTTAAGCTTGGTGAGCGTATTGGCAGTCTATAATGTAGACTGTCGCAATGGTTATGAAACTGAGTGAGCGTATTGGCAGTCTTTTTGAATGGTTTGTGTAAATATCGTTATCGCTTTGTCCAGCTCTCCCCTGGCGAGACAAGTGTTTGATATCAATGGGTTCCAACCTCGTAGCACAAAACCAACCGCTACTTTGTCTCATCTGGCCAGGTGGTGGCGCTTTGAGTCGACCACTCAACTCACACATCGGAAAGGTTGTGAGTTCAACTCCAGATCGGGAGCCGACTCAGCCTGACCATCCCGCAGGGGTGAAGGCTACGTCTACCACTCGGTGCCAGTTCAACAGCAGTCGTCCTATGCAGAGACCGGCCCCATTCCATGGGAATGTGGAATTTCCACCAATGGCTTACAGCTTCCAGGGCAGATGAGCCCGGTCCATTGGTCGTTTAAAGGTGTTTGTTATTAACCCCGCCCTCATTTTGTCTAGCCCCGCCGCACCCTGCCGTGCCTAGCCCCGCCCCGTTCGTCTGCGGTCCCTCCCCCTTGTCGCTAGCCCCACCCCTCCCTTGACCTCGCCCCGCCCCGTTCCCCCGGGCTGCCCGGGTTGATGAAAGGGGAAGTTTCGCGGCTCGGCAGCGCAGAGGGGAGAGCGGGGAGAGAGAGAGCGGGGAGAGAGAGCGGAGAGAGAGAGCGGAGAGAGAGCGGGGAGAGAGAGAGCGGAGAGAGAGAGCGTGGGGAGAGAGAGCGGGGAGAGAGAGAGGAGAGGGAGGTGACAGGGAGAGCGTGAAGTTCAGAGAGGGAGGAAAAGGGGAGCAAGAGGATAAGAGAGAGAGGGAGGGAGAGATAGGGCAAAGACGAGGAAGGAGAGGGGGAAGAGAAGCCACGGGTGACTGCGGAGAGGGGTGACTGGAGCGAGGGGTGACTGTGTGGAGGAGTGACTGTGTGGAGGAGTGACTGTGTGGAGGAGTGGCTGTGTGGAGGAGTGGCTGTGTGGAGGAGTGACTGTGTGGAGGAGTGGCTGTGTGGAGGAGTGACTGTGTGGAGGAGTGGCTGTGTGGAGGAGTGACTGTGTGGAGGAGTGACTGTGTGGAGGAGTGGCTGTGTGGAGGAGTGGCTGTGTGGAGGAGTGACTGTGTGGAGGAGTGACTGTGTGGAGGAGTGACTGTCGTGAGTGAAGGGAGAGGCAGGGAGGAGAGAGAGGAGAGAGAATGTCTCTCCGGGAGGAGCTGCTCAAGTCCATTTGGCACGCGTTCACTGCGCTGGACGCGGACAAAAGCGGGAAAGTGTCCAAGTCTCAGCTCAAGGTGAATTACACCACCATCACCACCCTGTATCATCATCATCTACAACATCATCATCTACGACATCATCATCTGCAACATTATCATCAACATCACCAGTATCAGCAACATCATCTACAGCTTCAACATCAATCTGGGACCTCTCTTGCCAGTATGAAAATAAAGAATAGGTCTTACCCTTTCCGGCAATAAAATTTGGTGTTAAGATGTTTAAACACCAAACAGAAACCTTTTTCAAGGATATGCAGACAGGATTCCTTTGCAAAGGTTCTGTTTGGTGTTTAAACATCTTAACACCAAATTTTATTGCCAGAAAGGGTAAAACCAATTCGTATAACATCAACATAATCCACAACATCATCAACATCTTGATTTAAAGCTTTCGTGACTGCAGTAATTCATATTCTTAGCTCTTTCGGTAAAGTCGTTTGTGTTATGGTCGAAACGTCGTGAGAATCTTTTATTGTTTTATATATATTTTATTATTTTATTGTTTCCCTTCAACGTGACTTTACCGAAAGAGCTAAGAATATCATCAACATCGACATCAACATCGTCAACAAGACCTATAACACCGTTAACATCCTCATCGACAAGATCATCAACAGCATCATCAATAAGATGATCATCTACACAACACCGTCGACAACACCATCATCGATCATCATCAGCACCGCCAGCAGCTAACAGCAGTGATGGTGCGAAGACACCATCAACGTTATACGGCCATGTTCAATGCACTGCTGGACGAGGGCCTCACCAAGCTGCACCTCCTCCACCCGAACCGACTCAATCGCTCTCCATCTCGGACGATTTACTTCTTCACTGCCGTGGCTGGCAAGGGGCGAGAAGAATTAAAATTCGTATCTCGGGTGCACTCAGATTATCAGTCCGCCCCCACCACGTATTAGCGCAGCAATCATGATCACATCCTCATCATCGTCAATCATCGATCACCATCAGTCTGTCACCACCACATTATATCAGCTATCAATCATCGATCGTCAGTATCAAGTGTCTTTCAGCATCAGTCATGTATCATTTGTTATTTATGTTATCATTATCATCAAACACATTATTTGACGATGCTGCGTTGACAGTGGCGGTGTGAAATAGGGCCATTGCCCGAAACGTCGCCGACTGTATTGTATACACTGTATATATTTTAAGGCAGTGTTTAGTGTTTTTTGTTGTCGTTGTTGTATGTTATCATCGTGATCGTCAGTGAGTTCTGGCCTGGGTTTCGTGTGACTGGCGTGTTGTTTATGGCGAAGTTAAATTTCACACATTCCCTCCACCCTGCCATGTCCATGGGGCCAATGCCGCCACTGCCGCTGGTTCTTGGGGCTGCCCGTGGTCGGCCTGAATTGGTCTGTAATAAGGTACGGCACTGATAAGCGGTTGACAGTTATGGGCATTAGACAACACTGCAGCAGTAATTAACCAGCGTAGCCGCGGGATTCGAAGCAGCGGCGAACATCACGCCTACCTCTACCACCAAGGCCGTCGCGAATACCATCATCCTCACTGGGTGGTTCAATCCCGTGAGTATGACTGGGAAATAAACGATGGTTGTTCTATAGAGATACCCCCCCCACACACCACTCCCTTTCCATGGGAATGTGGAATGTCCACCGCTGTCTCGGGAGCATCTACGAACGAGATACATTTTGTTGTTGTTTGGGACAATTTTATAAATGCAGTATTTGTTTTTGGAGACAATTTTTGTTTACGTTTGTTTAAACCACAATAGCGATGCGATTCAACAACAACAACAACATTGCCACCTAGAGAATAATGTGGAATACAGCATGCACATCGCTGCATTTATTTTGACTACGTCCACTGCATCTGTGTACTGTACGTATGCCACATTTGTGTTCCATCGCTCATAAAAACGTGACACTAACGTAAGCGGGATGTTGGAGGGAAGCTGCCGAGCATAACTTCCCGTGTGTTTTCCTGTTGGCCTGCTTGCCAATTGAATGTTCTCTAGCCCCCCAGCATGGGTAGACTACAGTAGGAATGCACTCTTACAATACACTGTGTTCATTGATAGACGCGCCGTGCACTCATTTAATGATATCCATGCTTTATTGGAGATGGTGTCAACTCCTTTTGTACGTATGTATGTTGAACTTCTTTTGCACCGTACGTAGCCAACAGTCTAATCGGAGGTGCGGGGGAAAGGACAACAAACTTAACACAAGGAGCAGTTCTAAAGAAATTAGTTTTCAATTTTGATGTAAAAGTGCATAGATCCCGTGGTTTCCGAATATCAGAAGGAAGAACGTTCCAGACGGCCGCAGAAGCGCATCTGAAAGCGCGCGATACGGTGACCGTCTATGTACTAGCCGCCGCTGCTGTTGCGAGGATGACCGGAGTCGACGTGATGGTTTAAGCTCCTTGACGAGATCAGCAAGGTCTTGTGGTTCATTTGTTGCAAGCACTCTGTGTGTCATGAGTGCGACTCCAGCAGCCGCTGCCGGATGAAGGCCTTCTTAAGTGGTCGTCATCATCATAATCATCCCTCGTGGTACTACCACAATCCATCATCAAGATGATTCCATCTCCTCTCGTTGACGCATTCCCTCCACTGGCTGCCACTCCTTCACGAGTCTCGACCAATCGGGCGTCGTCCCATCTCACAAAGTGTCCTGCTGAAGTTACTTTCCGTAACAGTTATTGCGATGCGAGGACTTTCCATTTGTTCTCTAATCCAAAAGTGTTCCCCTTTCTGCCTCTCTGTGTAACCCCATGCATTCCCGTCCTCGTGCTTTTGCGTACACTCTTAAGCTCTTGTTCCGTTTTCTTTGTCGGCGTGTGTATTGTATTTCTAACACACATATGCGTGTACGTGGTAAAACGTCTTATTCTTTAGACGTGTCACGTTTCGTTATTGCATTCACTTTTCAAATCCACTCGTCCACCTCTTCATGTTTTGTTTAAATCCCGGGCCACGTTGACTAACTACCCTCGGTGCACACCCACTCTGCTGTGTCTTCCAGTTCAGTCCGTCAGACATCGTTGGTCGTTAAGCACATTGGTTGGACACTACGTAACTTTTATTTTGCTCATGGTCGTCTTCGTTTAGGTCTCTACTGCTATACATTTTATTTTTATTCAATGTATTGCCCACGGTACACCACGCGGAGGGGTGGGGGGTGGGGGGGTAGAGTCCAGGATTTGATGAATGGGGGGAAAGAGAAGTGACCAGGAAAAGGAAGGGATGCGGGATTGGAAGTCCCCAAGACATACAAAGGGGTAAAGCTCAAGACGAGCAGCAGGAAGAGAGAATGAGCGCCGGAGATGAAGGGGAGGGGGTGGATAAGTTATCACCGGGCCAAGATGTCAGAGATCGATGTATGTATGTATGTTGAATTTCTTTTGCACCGTACGTACCCAGACGTGCTAATCGGAGACATGAGAGGATGATGAGAGCGGAGGCAGCAATCAGAATTTCGCTGCACGGTGGAGCAGCGTCTGTTTTCACAGGGGGCGGGGGAGAGGGATTCAGAGTGGGAGTGGCCACACAGAAGTCACGTGCTTTACGGGATGCTTGAGCTGATTTACAGAGAGATAATGACTGTCATCGGACAGTCTGAGATTGTTATTATTCTCTCCGTTTATATTTATGCCTTTGTTTCTCCAAATTATATTGGAGGAAAACGCCTCCTAATGCCGCGAATGAGTTTGGCAAAATTGCTCCCTTGCCACGTACACGTTGGTACTTCATTGATGACATCTCAGTGTCGCGGTTACATTTAGTAAAAATGTTTTTATTGTTTCTAAAAATATATATTGATGCCATGGCTTTTGAGAGCCAACACGTCATCTCCATACATTGTAATTTATTATCGTTACATTTTTGGACGCTGCTATCCGGCCTGGTGAAGGTGTGGTGAGGGAGGTTGCTTTACAAACGAAATTGTGCGAGGTTACAAACCCTGGTCAGGGATTGACTCGGCCTCATGATGCCGATGTTGTCGACACAATGAGTACCCCGCCAAAAATAAATGGGAATGTGGAATTGACACCGCTGGAGACGAGCTATTGCGCAATTTTCATTTGAGCGGGAAGGCGATCTGACTTGACTGGCCGTGGCGCGTACGAGACATTGCATTCGTACCTCTTGCCAAATTTTACAATTATTCATGAGTACAATTGAAGCAATATTTGTGTCGCGTAAGACCCCAATTAGTGTAACCTTGTGACGTCGGTGCATTACTCATGTTACAGTTACATTTGTTGCGACCCCAGATCTGCTCCTTTCTTTAAATCTTCGTGCGATGCAGTGTGTCCACAGTGCCCTGCTAAACACAAATTTATAAGTAAGATGTGATGATGAACAAAAAATACATCACAATAATCACGCTTCATGATCATCGCAAATCCACTGCTGGATAAAGGCCGCCGCCGTAGTGTCTCACAATCCTCTGCGATAGCTCAGTCCACCACGTGGTGCACCTGCACGTGGTGCACCTGCGCGTGGCGGACCTGCGCGTGGCGGGCCTGCGCGTGGCGGACCTGCACGTGGTGCACCTGCACGTGGCGCACCTGCACGTGGCGGACCTGCACGTGGCAGACCTGCACGTGGTGCACCTGCACGTGGTGCACCTGCGCGTGGTGGACCTGCGCGTGGTAGACCTGCGCGTGGCGCACCTGCACGTGGCGCACCTGCACGTGGTGCACCTGCACGTGGCGCACCTGCACGTGGTGGACATTGTTGTCAGCCTCGTTCCATCCCGTGGCTGCCACTCCGTCGTTATTCTCGACCATTGGCCGCCCCCCCCCTCCTAGCCACACGACGTGTTCTGCGCAAACCCATTTACTTGGGCGCCACGGTGGCGAGATGTTAACTGCCTCGCCTGGTGTACAGGAGGACGTGGGTTCGATCCCGACCCTGATGCCTGTTGTATATTTGGAGTTTGCATGTTCTCGTGGTCGCGTGGATTTTTTCAGGGTCCTACGGTTTTTTCCCACCGCATTTAGAAACGTTCGTTCTTGAGTATTTGGTTGCTATGCATTCCCGAATGATAAGCCACTTCGTTAAGCTATCATTTGTGGCAAGGTCGCTTCTGAAAAATACAGCCATATAGCTCAGCGGGCTCCCCAGACATTTGCAACTCTAGACTAAAGGACACCACTGCAGATGAGCTCCACGTGAACACGTACTTGACTTTTGTTGGCATTTCAACTTCTCCTCCCCCCCCCCCCCCCCCCCCGATGGTCACTGAAAAGGAAAAAAGTGAGTGTTTCACGTGGAAGTGGATGCATTCCCAGATGCAGAGGATGAGTTTTTGCAGCAAAGGGCAGTGGGAATGAGCTTTTTTACTTATTTTCAAAGACCATGAAAATGTCCCTGCTGCAAATGGAAATTACCTTCCCCGCAGTGAAAATTCGATTCGAAACAAAATTTTAGTTTTCAGCATTCTTCAAAAAGAAATCTGCCGAATGTCCCTTATTGCAAGGGTCATCTCATCTCCATTGGTGGCCCCGAACGATTGTTGGAAATTACACATTACTCTGGCAAGGCCACGCTATCCATAAGGAAAAGTGATATAGCCCAGCCACTAAATATAATCATCGCCTGTGAACCAAAGCACCCGAAATTGCGCCCATTCTCGTCAGATCTGAGATTGTCGAGCAGGATTGAGTCTGGATCGTGCTCGGATGGGCGACCACCTCGCCGAAGAACACGTGGCGTGGGCCGCCGCGGGGCTGCTATTTCATCAGAGGGTGGTGCCGTGAAATCCATTGTTGTACTGCACTATGCCCCCAACGTCTACGCTGCACCCACCCTTCGCCAACCCGTGCAGACCAACGCGATGTCGCACGGCCACGTAACGCCCACGGCCACGGGAGCCCCACACCCAGCAGAGTGCGTATGCGTGTACGCTGAACCTGTTTCGCACCGTACGTAACAAACCGTGCTAATCGGAGGTGCGGGATTGTGGATTGACCACCGAACCCTCGGTTGCCCAAGGGGGTCACTGCATGACACGTGCCCAATGCGAAGCGCCGTCGTCCTCGTGACACTTTAGGCTTGGACAGCGCCTGAATTCCATCCCCGCATGCCTGACCACTGTGCTCTCTAAACTAAAATTGAACTTAAGGCCCCACTGAGCTATCCAGCTCGTTTTCAGAAGCGACTTGGCCGCAAACGGTGGCTGAATGAAGTGGCTTATCACGTGGAAATGTACAGTAGCCAAATATTCTGAACGCACGTTGATGCTAAATGTGGAGGGAAAAACCCGAAGGACACGTAGAAAAATCCACGTGACCACGAGGGAGAGAGAGACACACACAAACTCTAAATATGGTCATGGTCGGGATCGAACCCACGATCTCCTGTATACCGGGCGTGGTAGTTAACATCTCCTAGCCACCGCAGCGCCCCAGATGAGCGGTTGCTGCTTGTTGGTTTTGCTGCGATGAGTTTGCGTTGAGCAACAGCGCGTTCTTGGAAGTGCCGCGGCAGGAAGTCGCGACGTTCGCCTTGTACAGTGTTGTGGATGTACCTCTGAGCCAAGGACGGCTTGTT